CTCTCTGAGCCTCAGTTTCCTTCTCTGTAAAAAGGGGATAATAACACCGACTTCACAGGAAGAAGAGATTAAATAGACATTGCGGGAAGGAGCACTGGGGAAGAACGGCTAACCGGCCTGAGGCTAACAGCGCCAGAACATCCACTTCATTCATTCGTTAGAGTGGTTTCTCTCTGCAGCCCCACTATTAGTCTCCCCGTTGGGCCCCTGCTGCTGGACCTGGAGACACTGCTCTAGAAAGCTGATGGTATATGGGTGCTCTATCCCCACTCAGGTGCACCTTTCCTGGAGCCCCACTTGCCCTGGACTGGGGCCTCCCGTTCAGAGCTCAGGTTCAATGTTCAACAGCCTCCACTGCTTGCTCCCTGCCTACCTGTGCTGGGTCTCAGGACCCAGGGAGGGACTTGGACACAGTTGGGTAGAGGAAGCAGAATAGACAGACAATTGCAAGTACAGAGGCTTGTGAACCGGACAGCTAACATTTATGAGACAATCAGTTCCTTATGCTTTGGGACAGCAACCCTTTGAGAGGGCCCATTGTAGAGCTGAGGAGACTGAAGCTCAGATGTGTGGCTTGTCTCAGGTCACAGTAGAGTTAGGACTCATATCCAGGTTTGTCTCATTCTTCATTACCTCCTTGATGCCACAAAAGGGGACTGCAGAACAAGTCGGAAAAGGACCAGAACAAGGTGGTCAGGTCCCACTTGGGTTAGGGGCAAGTGTAAGGCAACATAACTGCATCCAAGATCCACACCACTCTTTCCAGTCTGGCCTGGAAATCCAGAGCATCAAGGCTAGAGTTCTGACTGGTCCCAAACAGTTCGTTTATGGTTTAGCCCCACTGTCCCACTGTGGGTGGATGTTACCAGTTTAAGTGTTTTGGCAAATTGGAAGTGGGAAGCAGTCCTCACTAATGCAAACCATCATATCACATTTCCTCCTTACATAACATTGTGAGTAGGTGTTAGTCTGCCTGGTTTTTTATAGATTAGGAAACTGAGGCTCAGAGAAGTTAAGTAACCAGCCCAAGATCACTCAGGAAGGAAGACTGAGACTAGCTGCCAAGTCTATTTCTGGCTGGACAGTTTGGGGACCTGGGAAGACCCTGGTTTTCCTGTGGCTATCTCTAAATAAATCGGTGAGAAGCCATTCTGTCAGGTCTCCTAGTAACCCTGGCCTCTGGTCACCTGCATGGTAGTACCATGCTCTACCCCCACCTCTAGGAGGAGAGAGATGAACATCAGATAGGGTGTGTGTGTTGGGGAAGGAAACCTTCCTGCCAGCTATGCCCAAACCAGGAGAGTCTATCGCACTCCCACCCGTCACACTGATTCTTCCATCAGGATGTTCTCCTCACCTTGCTCTGTTCAGCTGGAAAAATAGTTTTTGCATCAGGCCTGTGCGGATCTCTCCCCCAACCCCCCGCCCCTTCTTGAACCACCACTGGTGCTCTGAGCTCCAGTCATGCTGAACATCTTTCCTCTTCTCAGCCCTCTGCCAGAAACACTCCTCTTCTGCCCTTCAAAGGGTAACTAACCCTACTCCAGGCCTCAGGTTTGATCCCCGTCCTCAGGAAGCCCCTCACTGACTGGTCAGTGATGTCACAGGCCCTTTTGTCCACTGTGATGTCTGTCTCCCTTCTAGGCTCAGGCCCCTTGTGGACAAGGACCAATGGCTGTATCCTCAGTGCTTGGCATAAAGGAGGAACTTGGTAAATATTTATGGTTGAATGAGTGACTGAAAGTAGATGAGTGCTATTCATTCGTTCATTCATTCATTCATTCATTCATTCAAATACCACAACAGAGCTGAACTTGGGGAGCTACAGAGTCAGAGAAGACCTCTTGGAGGAGGTGATGCTGAAGCTGGGTCTCCAGGGACAAGTGGGAGCTAGGGAGGTCAGGGAAGAAGGGCACTGCAGGCAGGGGCAGCTGGGCAAAGGCAGTCATGAAATAGCTTGAAAGGCAATTTGAACCCAGATATCCTAAAAGCCTTTGCGGTCAGCACATGTGGGCAGAGTGCACTGTCAGCATCAGACTCCTTGAACTTCCTCTCCTAAGACTCCTGCTGTAGGCAGGGGTCATGTGTCTGTCCCTGAGTGCACCTGGCACCAGAACCCAGATGTCAGCTGACTTTGCCATAGACTTCCTGTGTGACCCAGGGGGCAAGTCGTTTCCCCTCCCTGCTCCCCCTTCTGCTAAGTGAGGCAAATCATGGCCCCTACTTCACAGGGCAGTTCTGGAGTAACAGTGTTACGTAGCAGGTAACGTTATGCACGTTTGCATTAGACAGATCTGAGTTTTAGTTCCAAGTGATTCTTACTAGCTTTGTGGCCTTGGCCAAGTTTTATTCATTAATTAATGCATTCACTCAGTATTTCAATAAATGCTGGCCATCTTTTGTATACTGGACATTTATAGAGCAGTGGGGAAAAAAGACACAATTCCGGTTCTTGGGAGCTCACATTGTAATGGGGAAGACAGAAAATAAATTCATATATGCTATGATAGGGAGGAGTTAAATGCTATAAGTAACAGGTGATAGGGTGCTGTATTAAAATAGGGTGGTCTGAGGAGGTGGTATTTGAACATAAACCCAGCGGAAGAGAGGGAGTAAACAGTGTGGTTGACTGTGATATCCAGGGAGGACAGTTCCAGGCAGGAAGAACAGCAAGAGCAAAGGCCCTGAGGTGGGAGCAGGCAAGGGGTGCACTCCAAGAAGAGCTAGGAGGCCACAAGGAGGGAGAAGAATGAATGAGGAGCAAGTGGTGGGCATTTAGAACAGAGAGGAGGATGATCCAGATCACATGTGGCTTCAGAGGCCACCACGGGGACCTCAGGTTTTATTACAAATGTGTTGAAAAGTCAGTGATTTGGGTGCAGGTGAATGACATGTTCTGAATTTTCTTTTGCTTACCTTTTTTTGGAAAAAAATTATTAAGATATAACTGATACAATAAATTGCAGATATTAAAAATGTACAATATGAGTTTTGACATAAGTGTATACCCATGAAGCCACCAAAATCAACATAATGAACATCTATTATTCCCAGAACTTTCCCCATGTCCTTCTTTAATTCTTCTCTTCTGACTCCCACTCCCAAACAGCCCCCATTTGCCACTAGAGATTAGTTTGTACTTTCCAGAATTTTATATGAATGAAATCATACAGTATGCACTCTTTGACTTCTTTCACTCTACAATATAGTCATTCCACTGTGTGAATATACCACGAGGTGTTTATCCTATCCCTGTTGGAGGACGTTTGTGTTGTTTCCACTCTTTGGTTGGGTCATATGGTAGGTGCATGCTTTACTTTTTTTAGAAACTGCCAAACTGTTTTCCAAAGTGGTTGTACTATTTAAAAATCCTGAATACTGTAAAAGATTTTCAATTACTCTATTTTCTCATCATCACCTCGTATTGTCAATCTTTTAACTTTTGCCATTCCAGTGTGCTTGTAGTATGATCTCATTGTAGTTTTAATTTGCACTTCCCTAATGCCCAATGAGGTTGAGCATCATTTCATGTGTTTATTTGCCGTCTGTTTATCTTTGGTGAGGTGTCTTTCAAATTCTGTGCCCATTTTTTTTTTCCAGTCGAATGGCTTGACATTCTATTGTTGTGTTTAAAGAGCTCTTTATGTTCTAGATGCAAGGCCC